TTTTTTTGGGATTCTACCCCCCCCCCCCATCAAAAATCAAATGGTCCGTCCCTTAGGGACGCGGATATATTTTGGCCAAATTTTGTCATTGCCTCACGGATTTTAGAGCGAATTTAAGAGTGAATGTCAGTAAAAATCGAACATATGAGACATTTCGCGGCCACGACTGAAAAATCGATTTTGCTCAAATTTTGCCCAGATATACCTTATTATATCGGAAAATGCACCATATATTTTTTTAGGTCAAATGCTTTTTTAACTTTGAGAAAATGCCGTTTTAACACGACCACCCTAAATCGCCATTTTTCTGGGAAAATATGCGCTGATTTTACAGATAAATTTCACGACGACAACCGTTTCTAATCGATCTAAAACCCTAAAAATCTTGTTTTCGGTTATTCAAAGGACGGTATACATGACTTACAGGAAATCTGAGTTACTTTTAGGAATAGATATAATCGTAGTTTTGGAGCACACTATCTTACTTCATTTACGATACCCTCTTAACAAAACCGATTTTCACCATGCGATAAAGCTCCAAATCGATCATGCTTCTACTAGTTGGCTCTTTAATAAGCAAGCTTTCAATTGACGTAAATACTTCTTTTGGCAAATGAATACGCGATAAACGACAGCGCGTTGAAATCGTCCGTTTTTGACGTCTTGCAAGTCAAACGCTGTTAATTTACATACCGTCGAAGTAAACAATTTAATCAAGTATTTTAAGTATTTTACCTTTTGAGAAGAAGATATATTCTTGAATGGAGACTTTTTGCCTTGCTTAGTTTAAAATTGGTCCAAAAATCCCGAGATATTTGTAAAATATCATCATATACAGGTATTTTGAAATATAATATTGTTGTCAGTTGCATGACAACTTCAGATCATTGTTCAATATTGTCTACTTTTAATAGCGCAAACATACAAATCGATGAGCTGTTTAGGGATTTTATATTTGTTACTAAATTTCCCAAAATTAGAACTTCAATTGACAATTGTTGTTTTGTTCCAGTTTGCATTGATCCATATAATGTACCATTTAGTATTTACATATCGACTATCGAGTATAAATGTTTACGAATACATAAGTTAATTATTAAGCAGCTGTTAATAGCGTGCGTGTGAAATGAACATTTATCCATACAAGGATTTGTTATTTTATTATATATTCTACCACCTCAAACTCAAATTATAGGCATATAGCAAATACTGTAGTTTAGAATAATGTGTGTTTACTTTGATGCACAGTTAAAATAATCAGTAAAATTACTTTATTTTGATACACTAATGTCTATTGATCCGTATTATATTTCACAAGTACTAGTACCCAAAAATACAGCATTGAGATATGTTGGCCCAGTGCGACACCACAAATTATTATTGTCTCCCCACACGTCGCGTTTAAAGAAAATGAAAGCTTGTTGCTCGTTTAACGCCGGATTAACCACGTGTCAAATACGGCAAATGCCGCGGGCCTCGCGCTTTACTGTGCTACGCCCATTTTTACGAGAACACGGCCATTTTCTATTGCGACACACCCATTTTAGGTGCCTCGCGAATTTAGGGACCTCGCGCATTTAGGGCCCCTAGGCTTGGCAGTTCGCCCTAGCACGGCCCCGGGAAAATATGCAATACTCGTGTTCATATAATCTCTAGTTGCGTTGAGCTGTTATATTATGATCCTGTTTATACCCACCAACTGCGCCAGGCAGGCCATTATCTCGTTTATAATTGATGCAAATAAATTGAAATATTGAAAAAAAATATTTAACACTTTTGTGTGTCTTTAAATTCAGTGGTTTTCATAAAAAGAAGAAAGGGGGAGGTTTGGGGGTCTCGCGCTAAAATTTGCCACAATTACCCCCCTCCGTCGACAAACTTTTTATCGCCTTGCAAATTTGTATTTGCCTGTCTTCCTTGAGCTGGGGTCGCGGAGAAAATTGCTCCCTTTGCCGCCTCCCTGCATGGGCGGCCCTGGCGCCGCCCTTGTCTTATCATAACTATCTACCCTAATTCAAGCTGATTGGCGCGGCTCGATGAATTAATTGCCGCTTTCAAACAGAGGTTTATTATTTTAAACCTCTAGAACCAGGGTACCTTTTGTCACTCTGAGGCCAGCGAAATAACCTCTTCCGCAACATGCACGTACGCGTCTACTATCGTCAAGAAACAATCAATACGTATAATCGTTGTGGTCTGTGGGATTTTAATTCAATAGTGTAAACCTTGCAGTTTTAGGGAAGCCTCACATATCGATTTTTCCACAAGAAACGTCATATGTTCGTTTTGGGGGTGGGGGAGGAGGGTTTACAGCTGTGACGTTTCTCTGTAAATATCATGGGAAAATTCGATAGTTTTTTCGAATACCTTAACATTTCGGAATCAACTTTGCAGAGTATAAAAAAGAAAACAACTTGAAAGAGAACGACTATTCAAATATAAGGGCTGGTAAACTAATAATAAAAACTCCTTATATAGATAAACATCATAAACGTTCATTTTACCTGTACACGCACGCTAACAGCTGCTTATTAATTAACTTTAATACTTATTTGTAAACATCAGTCGATAAATAAAATGGTACATTAATATGGACAAAATGGATCAAAACCTCTGAAAACAGCAGTTGTAGTTCCAATTCTTTTGGGGAATTTAGTAGCAAATATAATCCTTAAATAGCTCATCGATTTGTATATGTTAGCGCTAAAGTCAAACGGCCGGGTCGTAGATCACGTTGAATAATGATCTGAAGTTATCATGTAACCGTCAACAATGTCTCAAAATACTGGATGTTTGATTTTTTTTACAAATGTACTGGGATTTCTGGACCACTTTTAAACTTAGCAAAGCGAAAAGTCCCCATTCAAGAATATGTTTTTTCTCAAAAGGTAAAATACTTAGAATACTTGATTAAATTGTTTACTTCGACAGTGTATAAATTAACAGCGTTTGACTTGCAAGACGTCAAAAACGGAAGATTTCAACGCGCTGTCGTTTATCGCGTATTCATTTGCCAAAAGAAGTATTTACGTCAATTGAAAGCTTGTTTATTAAAGAGCCAACTAGTAGAAGCATGATCGATTTGGAGCTTTATCGCATGGTGAAAATCGATTTTGTTAAGAGGGTATCGTAAATGAAGTAAGATAGTGTGCTCCAAAACTACGATAATTTCTATTCCTAAAAGTAACTCAGATTTCCTGTAAGTCATGTACACAGTCCTTTGAATAACCGAAAACAAGATTTTTAGGGTTTTAGATCGATTAGAAACGGTTGTCGTCGTGAAATTTATCTGTAAAATCAGCGCATATTTTCCCAGAAAAAATGGCGATTTAGGGTGGTCGTGTTAAAACGGCATTTTCTCAAAGTTAAAAAAGCATTTGACCTAAAAAAATATATGGTGCATTTTCCGATATAATAAGGTATATCTGGGCAAAATTTGAGCAAAATCGATTTTTCAGTCGTGGCCGCTTTATGTTCGATTTTTGTGGACATCCTCTCTTAAGCTCTTTGATTAAAGCATGTTGTTTTGAGAGTTATACGGTACATTCTTTCAGGGGATATCGATTAATCGTGAAAGAAATGCATTAAAGGCGAAAAATCGAGGATAATTTTGTGTGACATATGCCAAGTCTGGGCTATTTTGGTCTCAATGTTTCCTTCCTTCCCTCGTTACAAGGAAGGCACAGGCGGGCGCGGGCAAATCGAGCCTGGGCCTCTTGTGGTGCAACAAATAAAATTGCTCAAATTAATGTCGAAGTTTGCAATCCATAATAGCAGAAGTAATCGAGTATTTAAAGTTTTAACAAATATTGCCGTCAAGAAAAATGACGGCTGAGAAGCAACTAAGCAAGTGCCCTTTTGAAATGGTTGCCCCCGCCGCTTCACATTGCTTCCGGCGCCCCTGGACGAATAGTATGAATAGTCCGCGAATAGTCGACGAATAGTACGAATAGTCGACGAATAGTGCAATAGAGACTTTGCAAGGCTTTGCAGCAGTACTGTAGAACTAAATTTACCGGGGGGGGGGGGGGCTCTTTTGA